GGTAATCCCTCCCCTAAAACCACCACAAACGGCGCAAGAATCGCTCCCATCTGAGACGCTTGAGTCGCGCAACCCAATGCTGCGTTCCTCACAACCGTAGGAAACAGCTCCGCTATATATATGAACATCAGATTGTACGTTCCAGCCATACCGAATATTCCTAAAACCCCAGAAACCATTCTAACCACTTTCCACGGACCAACACCTCCTACAACAAATCCAATGAGGCAGAATACGCAGCTGAACCACTGTGTCCCTATGCTCAACGGTTTCCTCCCATACCGGTCTAGCAAAACCGCTGTTATGGCAAATGCTGGCATTTCCGCCACTGCATTAAGGAGGACGTTAAGGTAGAGATTGGTCTTGAGGTTGACTACGTTGAGGCTTAGTCCGTAGTATACAATGGAGACCGTGAAACTTATGGCGACGGTTAAGAGAAGCCTGATCCGTGTGAGAGGCGACACTAAAACGTCTTTGAGCGATCCGTCAGCTACAGTGTTTCCCTCGCCGTTGTTATTTTCCGTCGCTTCTTCCTCATCATCTAGAGCAAGAGTGACTCCAGCGGGAATGTGACGACCGTTCGTTTTAGCGATTGTATGCATTAGCTTCATCGCCTCGTCTACTTTGCCTCTCACGAGATACCATCTCGGGGACTCAGAGATGAATGGAATGACGATGAGTAGGAACAAGAGAGAAGGTACGGACGATACAATAAAAAGCTCCCTCCACGACCTGAAAACATAAGCAATGCCGGATAAAACCGCGATCCCGGAGGAGAAGAAGTAGAAAGTTGACATTCCCGCTACACCGCGTTTGCTCGGTCCTACGGGTTCAGTGGCTAGGACGAATGCGGTTAGGCCAACACCACCGGTGCTGAAACCGGTCGAGAACCGAAGAACCACGTAAGTCCAGTAGTTTGGGGAGAAAGCGGTCGCAATCCCAAAGATTGCGTTGATGATGCAGACGACAGTTAGTGAACCTTTTCTTCCAAGCTTCGAGTCCGAGAGATGTCCGAATACTCCCGCACCTGTATACATTTGAGTCGGTGGAGTTTATTTATTAGGCAGGCCATGTTAGTAAGTTGTAACTAGAAAATGTTATCAAGTATACAATAGTAGTAACAAAATAGACATTCAAAAACATAGGTTAATAAAGACTTATACAAATATTTGGTAGTTCACAAAGATCATATAACACATGTGAAATGTATGGTCCACTAACTAACAAAAGTGAAGTGCTTTTTGAGATATGTTGGACCAATGTCACACAATCTTTTTGTTTTGTTTTAAGAAACGAAAACGATATCTTCAACTTCAGTGGAATTTGACAAGTCTTACGCGTATGCAAATGTTATTGGATATTCCTTTGGATATCCTATTAGTAATTAATATAATATGTATGATGTATCAAGTTTAGAGATTGGATAAACCCCAGTGTCAAACTGTCCAATTTTCAAGAACTAATCTAAACATAAGCCAAGAAAAAGGCAACAATTTTTGATTTTTCTACTCTTAAGCCAAGAGGTCATGTTATAATAATCATTTTGTTTGTTAGTGCAACTATACAAGCGTTGAATGTAGTCTAGGTCTCTTCTGGCCACGTTTATTTAAATGTTAAATGTTGTATAATCAGCATTATGAGTTTTCAAATATAAACACAAACGAACACTGTGTTAATCAATACTATAACTAGATTTACAAACAATCAAGTAAAAAATTCGAATTGTTTGAAAACAAATTAACCTTTGATAGAAAATTTTGAAAATAGAAGATGTATGAAATCATTTCGATGAATCATGGCCACGTTTTCGAACTTTTTAGATCATTTAATTCAAAGAAAATCATTTTCTTACACTACTATAGAACTAAAGAAGGAATATTAAATTTATGACTTTACCCAAAAAGCCATCAAGATAATATCTAACGTGATCGACTAATTTATTCAGTCACACGTATATCATATACAATTCACTTTTCATCATTATAGTTTTATTTTGTTTAGCTTTTTTGGCACCAAGCATATGAATCAAATTCTTCTTTCTTTTTTTTCGGCGTTGAAAATGCTTTTTCTCTTCGTGGGTCAATTTCGACCACGGAATAACGTCATGGGTAAAGCCATTATCATCCAAAATTTATAGTAATATATATACAAAATTTGTGAGGTTTATCTTTTTCTATGTAGTGTTATTTTCCAAAAGATGGATAAATCATGAGAAGGGCATGTGATCGGCGCACGTGGTACGACCCGGAAGGCTCCAGATTCCAGCCAACGTGTCCATCTAAAGTGTTTTAAAGTTCAAACTAAGTTTTTGGTACTTACAAGTTTACAACTAGTTATTATGTCTGGTTACTGGTTACTGGTTACCAAAAAAAAAACTAGTTATGTCAAATCTTTTATTTAGTTAATTATCAGATAAACCTCGAAAAGAGCTAAACCCGCTTAATAACAGATTCCATGTCGTAGAATAATAGGTATTTTTACTCATTTATCGATTAGTGAAATAAAATAAATAAGTTTTCGAATTAATCCATCTGTGTATTTCATACTTATTACAGAGATTCTTTTTCTCTACTTTCTAAAAACATTTAACAGTCAATCTCCATTGATATTAGTTGGCATTTTTCTTATTTTGTTAACCTAAATTTTGATTAGGAAAACAAAAATTTGAATTCGACGTGAATTACACTACAGCTGTTATTTTCCGTTTTGAAATTTTCCTAATA